GTAGTTTTTCGTTTTTCCTCCATTTTACAGAGAATATGACTATAGTCATTATTTATTGTATTGTCTGTAACTGACCAAATTTTGACCTGCTCCGCGATCCGATTTTTGCATTTTTAAAATCTGGATAAGTTTTTAATCAATCGTAATATTTTGTCAAAATTAATACATATCATTTGGATTTATTGTTAAAATATTTCTACCAAATCTGGATAACATATGACGTCAAATAAAAAAGATATGACAGTTGTCCACGAACTTTTCGAACAACCCTCGTATACTTTTATTCCGTCTTCTTTTAAGGTCCCAGTCATTATGTGGGAAGATTTGCTGGGTTTTTTCTCTATGTTTCAAATACAACATCAAAATCAGATGGTCATCTGTGTTTTCATGAGATTCAGACCGTTAACACTACACCTGTAGAGGACCAGAGGATCAACTGTTCTGTTCATGGCCGTTATGTCATCTACTATAACGAGCGTTCTACGGGTGTAACTTATCCAAATTACTACTCCGAATATGCCTTCAACGAATTATGTGAAGTTGAAGTCTACGGTAAACTCTTAGATTACGTGTATTGCATTCCTTTATTATTTATGTTTTTGCTGTGAAAGATTTTGGGATGCATTAATTTTGCAGTGTCTGTTCTTCTATCTGTCTGTTTGTCTGCAAAATATGTGAAATATTGCCATTAACGTTTGCTTGGGTGGGGCTTTTGCTTTTATATTTTACTTATTTGACTAGATTTTTCATTGGGTACCACGAAATTTGACTTCCTTCGAATTTTAGCCACATTTACAAAACACTTTTGAAATTAGGAATTGAGGGCCGAACTGATTTAATATTTTAATTTATTTGTTGACGTTATGACTCTCTTTAGACCAATCAAAGCTTTTCTTGTTAATCATTCCATTATTAATATCCATTAATCATTTCTTATTCTCATCCATTGCTTATATTCCTTATTTTATTGGTGCTGGAATTGCAAAAAAAAAACGTTAACTATGGGATTCACACCATCTGCACTGAAAACACATCCAACATACTCAGGTTATAACTTATTTAGTCTTTACTCTTATCTTTACTGAAACATAATCTAACATCTTCAGTTCTCTGCAGTATTTGACTAAGATTTTCCTAGCGGTTTTTTTTTTTGACAATTTGCCTACATTTAAATACAATCACTAAACATGGTTGATTTTCCAATCATCAGACGGAGCGCACTGAAACATTTCTTGATTAAAAAATATTCGTTTTTTAAACTTAAATGTTCCAACGGGTTTTTTCAAGGTGGTGAGGCTTCATAATCAAGAAAAAAATGATAAAGAAAAAAAAATTCAAACCATGGGTTTACGAACTTAAATATAACATACACGGGAAAATTTGCCAAAATACAGATTAAATATATTTACTGCTTGTCTTTTTTGGAGTATTGGACTCAACCGTGAGAATACTGCATGTCTTTAAAGTAGAACTTATAAATTATAAAGCACGTAAATCAGAGTATAATTTTTGTAAAATAGGGTGCCCTGTTATTGGTAAATATGGAGAGGATTGTAATCGGACCTGTTCAGTAAATTGTCAAGAACAGCAATGTGAGGTCGATACTGGTTACTGTTTGAAAGGATGTTCACCAGGATATAAAGGTCAACTCTGTACTTATGGTACGTTTTTCTCAGATATAAATGCGAAGTAGCAATTAAATATTCTGCAACTTACCTAAAAATACTTAAAGGGGGAGGAAATAAGCACCTCCTTAAAATTAACCTGGTCTTAGAACCCCTGTCAATCATCTGAAATAAGCCTGGGATTGGATACTTTGATTTGATTGACATTTAGTTTGCTGCTCTTGTGTATATCTTGTGTACCTTGTCTGGAGATCGCACCGACCATCGAATTAACTTTCAGGCTTTTGATGCCTACCGCACATGCCAACGTGATAGAGAAGCAATCAAATCGTTGTTCTCCTCTTTTGATTTATAAGAATATGCCATAAATATAATCAATCTATCAAATAATTAAATAAATGAAAAGAAAAATCATGGCTATTTAATATATATATTATAAATTTTATTTTAAAAGAGAGGATTTCATATCGCAATTACAATCGATAATTTTAGTTTCCGTGTCAAAACATGAGTTAACGTACATTTATTCCTCCATTAATTAACAAAATAAACCGACCTGCTTTTGAAGCTAGTATCATATTATTTTTTTTAAACAAGTATGACAACATTGTTCATGAGTCAAGCGAATTTATATTTATAAGACAAACCTGTACGTGTCGCTTTTCTTCGAGACATGGTGACGAAGTTACGGTATAATAATAAGTTTTAGAAGAAAAATTACTTGGAATCTAACATCTTGCTTAGTATTTAATGTTTGAAATTAATAATGAGTCTCGAAAGAAAAAATAAACGATGCAAATGATTCCATTCCCCTTTCATACAGCTGTCGTGGAATCAACCCCTGTCCGAAGACCTGGCCATTTTTACAGACGATGCGTTATGGAAAAATCAAGTAGAGTTTATCTTAAACAGATATTTATTTAGACAAAAATATTTCTACTTCAACATTTTATTCTCAAAACATCATTTCTAAGTTTCATTGTTATTTACCGAGAGACTGTTGTATGATTCACTTTCTTCTTCGGTTTGCGTAGATGACGTGTATTTGAATTACTTCCCTTTTTCTCGCCAGATTACAACGACAGATTTTGGTGCTAAATGTATTTTCGTTATTAATAACACTTCATTAAAAAACACACTGTATATAAAAAATGTCGAATTATTGAAAATATCAATTATTTTAAAAGAAAGAAATTGGGAAGGATTCTGTCTGCAACAAAAAATGCTTTATTTCGCATTTTAATTCATGAGCTAAACATGAAAAAAACGGCCTCGGTTTACAAAGTCGTAGGAGAACGCATACAGGTAATACACTCAGGTAACATCCTGTGTATATAGGTAGTATTCACAAGCCAGCGTCGTTCCCTCGGGACTTCTCAGCCGCTTCGATTAAGCTCCACCCCACACCAAACTTACCTGAGGAAAACCGTACGGTTGAAAACCTCGGCCTTTAAGATTGATCGTTTATAGGAGGTTTTCCCTAGCATAGGAGATAAAGATAGAAAAAGTGCTTTTATGTGTTAGTGATAGTGTGGGTGTTTGTGCCTCTTTGGCAAGAAGGCGTACTTCAAATCGAATTCTATTTCGAATGCTATTTTTAAAAGTCTTTTCTAAAAATCAAGGCATAAAAATATAAAAAATTGTAATTCCTATGTAATGCGGACCCGCAATAATAAAAAAAACTATATCCTTTATGCCTTCGCTGCTTATTCCTAATTTTGTTTTTATGTCGTATACCAAGTTCAAAAGATAAAAAATGATGGGTCTAGGTATAAATCGTTTGTCAAACAGACATACATGTATCACCGACTCTCAGAATGACGGTAAAATGTTTGGTATTACTTGTTCTAAAGGATACATGGGACGTAAACTAGTATTTTAGTATCACTCTGTTTTTTATTTTGACAAAAATGCTCATTTTTAACCACTTGTATATTCCACAGTCATAGAATGTCTTTTCTACAGAATGTGACGGAGGAATGTACGGTATTAACTGTACTCAGTCCTGTGGTCACTGCTTAAACAATGAACAGTGTCATCATATCAACGGTACTTGTTTACAGGGTTGTTCTCCTGGATACAAGGAACCCCTCTGTAAGACAGGTAATTTCTACATGTAATTAATCTCTTTTTAATTAATTTTTACAAGGGATATCAATATTTCATCACTTGTATATACCATAATGATATACATTACATATTATAAAGTTTTGCAAAAGTTATAGAAGAAAACTATTTGATAAAAGAATGGAAACATTAACATATTAACGAAAACAGCGAAAATGATATGGCACCTGATCCTACCTCTGATGTTTTTGAGGTCCGTGTTTGCTTTTCTCCTGTTTTGAATTGTTTTATGGACTTTTGATCTTGAATACTGTACGTTATCTCTGTATGTTATATGATAATGGTTAATTAAAACTTTAAAAATATCTAGAATGTGATGGTGGGATGTATGGTCTAAACTGCAGTCAAGTGTGTGGTCACTGTCTTAATTATGAACAATGCCATCATATCAACGGTACTTGTTTACAGGGATGTTCTAAAGGATACAAAGGATCTCTCTGCAATTCTAGTATAGTATTACCATTATTGCTTTTTCCTCAAACACAGTAAATATATATTTGGCATATTCACATATTTACTTCTAAATGTAGAATTGTTATTTTCAAATTAAAACACTAATTTTAAAGAAAATTTCTTAATTAAAAATAGCGTGTGATGGAGGTATGTATGGAAACAACTGTAATCACAGCTGTGGACATTGCATTAACGATATTCAGTGTAACCACGTCAACGGTTTATGTTATGGAGGGTGTTCTGTAGGCTTCAAGGGATTGCTTTGTGACAAAGGTATTGTGTTTTCAATTTTAATGTCAATTATAAGGTGTAATTGAGAATTTTAAAAAAATGTTTATGAACATCAGTTTTTGAAGGAGCCATATAGGTATGCCAGCTTTCTCATGAAATGATATTTTTATTAGTTGAAGGGGTATATTTCTTATCATTTGCATTGTAAATGAGATAACTGTAAAGTATATAAGGTAAAAAAAAAAATAATGTGTATTTTTTTTTTCCATTTTGTAAGGTTTCTGCAATACTCTTTCACGCTGGAATTGAGCGATTGATTTGGCATGTACCGAGTAAAGTTCAAAACCGATTCTGTTGCATGTGTTCATATTTAAGATTTCTTTCAAAACCTTTTTTTTATTTATATGCAGCATGTGACAGTGGAATGTATGGTGTTAATTGTAATCAAGCATGTGGTTATTGCCTAAACAATGAACAGTGCCATAATGTCAACGGTTCTTGCTTACAAGGTTGTTCGAAAGGATACAAGGGATTCCTCTGCAACATCGGTATGTTATTTTTTGTTGGGATGGACATTAAGAATCTGTTTATAGCTTGGTTATTGACATTTAGATCTATAACAATAAGGTGCACACAAAATAAAGATAACAGAAACTTATCTAATTTAGTTAACATATTCTGAATTTTGTTTTTCTTTACGTAATTGTTTATAATCTCTCAAACTAGATGTAGATATTCAAACTTTTATCATTCAATTCACTGCATTTTCAAAAGGTAGTACACTCTAGTTATCTACAATGAAAATGCTTTAAACGATTCGAATACGTTTAAACTATTTTTAATACGGTGTTTGCACTAGAAAAAGTTTTTGGTAGAAAGAAAGAAAAAATGTTTATTCATTGATTAGCGTGTGAGGATGGAAAGTATGGTTATAACTGCAATGAAAGCTGTGGATATTGTATGAACAATACCACGTGTAACCATGTCAACGGTACATGTCCAGGAGGGTGTGCTGTAGGATACGACGGGCCTCTTTGTACAAATGGTATATAATAATCATATTTATTATTTTTTTTATGTTTGTTTGTCTGTAGTTTTATTTTCATCTTTTTGACCGTGAGTTTAATTCACCGGGTGACCATGACAGTTCTTTAATCTTTAATTTTTTTTTCTAGTTTGTGGACGATATCACTGGGGAGCCGATTGTAAAGACACATGTAGTACAGAATGTGTCAGCAAGACCTGTCATCACGAATCAGGACATTGTCTATCATACACACAGGTGATGTAATCAATAAAACATTAGCAAAATAAAAAGATGTTTTGAAGAAAAGTTAATGAAATAATTAGCTTTAAATTTATTTTAGATGCATTTTTCTTACGTTAAGATCAATTTCATTTTATTATAAATTATAAATTCATAATTATATCGCAAACATTCTACATATAAATTGTAGTCTTCTTTTGTCCAATTTTAGCAGGCACAAAGTTGCCACACGTGTAAGAATGACTATACAACTACCATTATAAGTGTGGTTGTCTGTATTTTAATTGTTTTGATGAGCAGTCTCCTGAACTTTATCATCTGGAGGAAAATGCAGCGTACGTAATTGTTTTAATCCTATTTTGCCATTAATGTGTCTTTTTTAATATTCAAAAAAATAGTACATGAAAAGAAATTAATAAAAACTTATTCCATTTCTGTTTTTTAAAGTTAAAAGTAATACTTTTTAACACATATGATATGTTAGAAAAACATAAATCGAAAGACTTAGTGTTTTTACCGAAACCGTTAAATATTGGTATATCATAAGATATCATTTTTAAAATATTCCTTCTGCTATGTATTTCACCTTTGTAACAGAGAAAGGGACGGCTTTAGACCCCCGAAATGACAAAGTCTATTACAACGAATTCCCAGCTGTTGATATAGGAGGTAATATAAATATACAAATGTTAAGGGCATTTTTTTTCTTATGAACTCTGTAATGTGAACAAAGTAAACGGTAAAATTCAATGGTGTTCAATTCGATGTCTACAATATTAGTTGAAGTATCCAATCAATACCCCTGTATTTTGAAATCATCTTATTAAAAGATAAACGCTAATGCTATGTTTAAAAAAAAAATCCATTTCATTCATTCTTGGGTAAATGATTATATAATTGGTCTGCAAATGACCAGGACTGTTGGGAAAATTTTAAGAACTATAAAGTGTATGTAAAGCTATTGTTAACAATTGAGATATCGATCACATTACATGTAAAAAAGAAAGAAAAACTTTATCGGGAAGGTTGCAATTTTTAAGCTTATAACTTTCAGATAAAGAAAGTGGGCGAGATATGTATGTATTGCTTTATTCCCCTTTTTAATATTGAACTTTTTCACTTTACTTAAAACTTTTTCAAGGATTGATATCTTAATTTTTTTTTTAATCTGACAGGAATATTTCGCCTTATGCAGAATTAAGTGAACTTGACAACACAAAAACTTATGAAGAACTTCATCAAAATGCAAAAGCAGACGAAAAAATGTAGATGGTGGCGTTATTGATGTTTACACTTTAGCACATAACTCAGGAGTACTTGTAGCTTTGCTCACATAGACATTTCTTATTGTTTTATGTCTACACATACTTTCGTTTCTTGTTGAGAGAACATGTTTTATATACTCTCCGTTTTGTAATGCTTTTTTCATCTTCACATATCTCAACCATAATCAGAATCCAATCGCAGAACATGTTGTGGCGAAGGTGATATGTATTTTACATTACTTATGTTCATGTGTTCAGGTACAATATTGTGCTCAACATTGATGTTTAACCTTACCGCATGTACCCAAAAATATTAAAATTTGCAAATTTCTTCACATGCATTATGTCTTATCATTTTATATGTTAGAATTAATTGATAATTGGATTTTTTTTTTACACATCTCCACGGAATCCTATCACAACATCTTTTGGGGGAAGGAGGTTATATTAATTGTGATGTCCAAAGGTTTATATGCAAGCCTTATTGCAACCTTTACCTTGTCCAAATTATTAAAATTCTTCATATTGTATTTCGTATCAGCTTACAATGTGCTAGATGAATGTGATAAATACATGTACATTGAGTGTATAATCTTCTTCCATTTTGTATTCATAAAGTATGAGTTAATTTCAAGGTCTAACATCATTTTTCTGATTTTTTATTCAGTCTAGCAAATTAATATATTATTTTAGCAACACATTCAGACCAAATTATTATAACATGCTAAACAATATGTTTTTCCTATTTTTTTTTTCAATTTAAGAATTTGAGATGTGTTGGAATTTCACATATCCACGACTAAAATAAAATAAAATTCCACCATATGGCATGCTAACAGAAAGAGTGTGCAATAATTTTCTTAGCAGTATTTAATTGCTGAGACATCTGTAACAGAAATTTAGTCCAGATACACACAGGGATTAAGTGGATGTTGACATTGGATTCAAACAAATATGATTATTATAATTTAACATGCCCAAAGATTGTCTTCATAATTTCAAGCATTTCTACTACGAACATGCTTAGAAAACTGCTACAGAACTTTAGAAAGGACAAACACACGGATAAACAGAAAGTTGATATGGGAGCTGTACCACAATGAAACCAACCAAATGACATACTTGAGCAAAGACTGATCTTAAATTTTAAGCATATGCGAAAATACAAAAAAACTTTAAGGATAAATAACACAAACTTTTTTTCAGAAATCAGCATTATTTCTCATAGATTTACATTTAAATTGACAACCTGAATAATGTTTACCAAGTAGAGTGGGAGAATTTTATAAGATTTTGTCATAAAGTTAAAAAATTGTGCAAAATTTTGTATGGAATTCTATAGAAGGCAAAATAAAATCTCAAATCTAAGCACCGAGGAAAACCTACGATTTCTTTATATTTTAGGGATTTATTTTTTATGTCATTACAAATCAAAATCAGTCAAAAAATATATATCAACCCGAGCATCCATTTTTTGTTTGTGGTAAGTACCCTTAAGAGTGACAAAAATTGTTTTGAACAGTTTAACGGGAATATAGACAGCCATGCTAGGTATTTTTTTACCGGACTTGTGAACATTCAGTCTTATGGGCCTTATGGTCGGACTCGTAATCCTTCGGATTTTTAGGCAGTTGGATTAATTGACCTTCGGACTAGCGGGTAGATCCAAATTCTTCTACATGTCATGTGAAAAAAGGTTACTCGTAATGACATTTTTTGGACATGACAGCCCCAATTGTGATGACTTTTACTGTTTTGTAGTTACAATAATTCAACTAATTTTAAATATTCATAATCATGATATACATTCTTAAGATAAAAAGCTATTAGTCAGAAGTTTCACGACTTCCCCCTCCAGAATAAGCTTATCGCAATGAACAAGTCATTTCCTACTTAAATTTAGACAGGTGTCCTGGTTTAAACCAGAGATAATATTCGCAATGCATGTACAAGGAACGTTTACCCAATTCTTAAAAATTCATCCGTTTCAAGGTTATACACATGGATGTTTGTGTGTAACTAAATCTTAATTGTTTATCTATGTGAAAAAAAATTTTTTAATGTTGGAAAAGAAGATTTCACACTATTAATTAAGACATTTTGATTATTCAATCAATTACAAAGGAAGATTTACTTTATCTGTAAAACTATATCGTTCGTGTGGATACTGGAAATTTACTTCCGCAATCACAGTCAATATTTGAATTCTATCAAGGTAAGTTGACCACTTTTATCTGTATATGATGTATTTTATGGTGAAAGGACATAAAAAC